ATATATATATATATATATGTTATTGTTTTATCATGTTAAACTTTTGAAGTACATTAGAGTTCATGGAGCAACTAGAACAGTATTCTATTATTCAGAATTTGTGCATTCTGTTTTTTAAATTTTAGCCAAAGGCCACACATATTATTGACAACCTCTTAATGTGGAAGCATAAAAACCAAAAGATAAACCAACTGTTTGCCAGCAGAGATTCAATGATCAGAATGTGGTGTTTTAAACTTGGTATATGAATGCTAGCGGAAAAAAAAAAAAGAAAAAAGAACACTAGTGACGCTAAATAAACGGTGCATGACCCCTACAGACCCAGCATGGTTCTTCTCCAATGTTTTCTCTTACAGTTGTACCTATTATTACCAGCTTTCATTCAAATCCATTGGGGAATGGGGTGATTCTGCTTTTGTTCCTTGGTCAGTAATCTCTTGATCCTGAATATCTTATGCAAAGACATTTTGAAGATGAAAGGCAGCTACATTCCAGGGATAATGGAGAAAGCGAGAAAAGGGCTGACAATTTCTTTATTCCAAAATCGGATCGATACAGAGAAGATAAGCATGGCCCCTGCGCAAGGATGACACGCAAAATTTCTTTATCAGCTAAAATTATTTTCTACGCCAATTTTTTTAGGTGATCCTGTTGACATTCAGCATCATAAGCAATGGTGGCATTTACTATTTTGGTTTCACTTTTCTTTTTGCATCTTTATGTTTCTTTCGACAGTCCTAGTAAACAAAACCAAAAGTCTTTGTTAGCAAGAAATGTAAATAATTATTTAATTTTTTTCGGTGGTAACTACAAAATGAAAGTTAGATTATCCAGTCTGAGTGGGGACGCTAAAGGTAGTCCACATATTGTGAAAGCATTTACTTAGAATGACAAGCAATATACAAAATTTGACTTTAAAATCTTACAAAGTAGATCCGTTTTCCACTCAGTAAGTCATACACATTTTGTTTCCTGTGTTGACTTTAAATGTTTACAGTGAGAACTGTAATAAACACGTATGTTTCCATGTTAGTCAATAACCCTGAATGGAAGCAAATTTTCTCATTTGACTATGTGTGGGTTAAACTAACCTAACTTCAAGGTTCCCTCAGAGCTCTTTAATTCTGGGAGTTTACATCATGTTCCTGGCTGCCTATTAATTCAAAGAAATTCAAAGATATACCACATCTATTTTACAAGGTAGTTATTATGGAGATACAATTACTCACCCTATGCAGATCATTTGTTCGGGCCTCCCAAGAATTCCCACTCATAATACTTTCTGTTCCTCTCCAGAATAAATCAGAATCTATGGGGGAGAAAAGATAGTAAAGCATAAATTAATACCAACATACCAGTGCTGTTATTATCAAGGTTAACAATGTTTGTTAATTCTAGTTAAAACCATTTGTCAAAATCAATCAACAAACCAAACAAAAAACTGCTTAAAATACACTGAAAAAAACATATTTCAACAGTTTCTACAGTGACACTTTATCACATTCTTCAAGTTGTGTAACTATTTTCACTATCCTTTTCCAAATGATCCAACAAAGAATATTCAATGCAACTTAAAAACTTCCTTTTGCCTTCCCTCCTAATCTTAGTAACCAATAATGCTTTTTGTTCCTGTATTTCTGCTGGCTTCATATAAGTGAGATCAAATAGTATTTGGCCTTTTGTGACTGACTTATTTCACATTCTTTTTTTTCATTTCTTATCAGATATATGGTTTCCAAAAATTTTCTCTGAATTTGTATGCTGTTTGATTTACGTTCCTGATAGTCTTTGGATATAAAATGTATTTAATTTTTGTGAGATTTCATTTATATTTTGTCTTTTGCTGCTTGATATTTTGTCAGATCTGACAGTGCATTGCTTGCGTTAGACAGGGTTCTCTAGAGAGATAAAACCAAATTGCTGATAATTTAATATATTTATTTATAAAGATAATTAGATATATAATGAGAAATGAACTGTTAAATCATATACA